GGATCTAAAGTAAAAATGCTTTCTATAAAATGGGAAAGCTTGTAGATACCAATTTACTTAATTTTTTAAATGACCATTTTCTCCATGGGAGCCATTACTCAGCTCAGTAGAGTTGAAATTTCTCAAATGGTAATCTACACTTCTATCATGGAATCAGACTCAGAAATAAGCCCTGAAATAGCATTGATTCTAAGCCAGCTGGATGCTTGAGTGTCCTGTGTAGTGATTCACCACAGAGCTTCTTGGCCTTTGTTTCAGCACTACCAGAAATGAGATGATGTAAATGGTCTTCTCTACTTACCATGGCAGCCATATTACCTGTAGATCATTCTGGCATTTTGAACAAAGTACCTTTCTCTGTATGTTCTTTCCGTTTGTCTTCTTTTTCTGAGGGGGACAAAAACAACCAAAGGAGAAGAACCTTGATCAAGTAGATTTGTAGAACATGTACCTATGGCCCATACCCAAGAAGTCATGACGTGTCATATGTATTTTCTAGGAAATATGTTAATATGTTTAACCTTCAATGTTTCACAAACTTATTTGAATCTTTTCTTTTCCCCAGAACATCTATCCTGAATGCCGTAGCACAATATTTGGTGCATAGAAGGTTCTTAATAAATATTTGCTCAAACGCCAATGAAAGCCAAGCGTGGTGGTGCACATTTGTCATCCCAGCACTTGGAAGGTGGAAGCAGGATTACAAATAGTTGAAGCCAGCCTGGGATACATAGCAAGTTTGAGGCTAGCCTAGTTTGTATCAGACCCCATTTTAAAAAATAAAATGAATACAAAATACATCTTTATGAGCTTGAACACGTACCACGTACCATGATGACACATGCTCTTTATTTCTGCAACTGACACAATGAAAAATAGATTAACCGATGTGTGGATATACCTCCTTTCCTCTGCGTACCACCTCAAATATATTCATTTCTGTACCTTATACAGAATTAAATTCTAAGCTTACTGTTTGCAACTTTATGATCAAGATAAGAGTCTGATGCCAGCTTTTTATGTTTACTATGAATAAACTGCAAGGACTTTTCTCAGCTTTGGTTTTCAGTTTGTGCCAAATTGTTTAGGTATACAAGTACAAGGTTTCACAGTGCAACACTTAACTGCAGATCTGCTGGATGACGGTGTTTGTCCAATATCAACCTTTATTTGGCTTCCCAACCAACTTTTGGGGTTTAGCAAGTAGTCCCAGTTATTTGTGTGTAAAGGAACTTCCTACATGAGGCAGCTAGACCAGCTCCTGTAAAACATGTGTTCTGTCATTAAGGAAGATGCTGTAATGTGGGCTTAGTGCAGTATTGTGATCAAGAGTATATATATATATATATATATTTAAAATTTTATGTGCATGAGTGTTTTGCCTACATGCATGTAAGTATATCCATGTGTACAATATTTGTGAGACTTACAAGAGGGTGACCAATTCCCTTGACCTTGACTTATGGACAGCTCTTGACGCCATGTCAGTGCTGGGGACTGAACTCAGGTCCTCTGTCAGAGCAGCCAGTGCTCTTAACCATTGTACAATCTCTCCAGCTTCTTATATATAATTTAATTAACTTTAAATTTATTTTTATTCTATGTGTATGAATACTTTATCTCCATGCATATATGAGTGCATCCATGTTGTACAATGTCTGTAGTAGCCAGAAGAGGGAGTCAGATCCCCTGGAACTGGAAGTATAGGCAGTTATTAGCCACCATATGGATGCTGGGAACCAAACTTGAGTCCTCTGCAAGAGCAGCCAGTACTCTTAACCACTGAGTGCATATATATATATATATATATATATTTGAAAAAATATATAATTTTGGGGACAGGGTCTCATGCAGCCTATGCCGACCTCACACTCATTATGTATCTAAGTATGACTTTGGACTTCCTTCCCACCTGTCTCTGCCTCCGAGGTGCTGGGATTACAGATGTACAGCAGCATACTTGGTTTACTCAGTGCTGAGGATGGGTCCCATGACTTCATACACGCGAGGCAAGCACTCCACCAGCTGAGCTACATCCCCAAGCTTTTTTAAATTTCTTAAGCTCTGGAATTGGAGAATTTAGAGTCAGCGAGAGAAAAATTATGAATCATTCATTTTTACTTTTTGCCACATGAAGAAATCTGAGTAGAGATGCAAGAGCCTTGGATTCAAAGCAAGGTATAGCTCAGCATCATGACTTTCTCTAAATCTAGGAATCTACTGTTCTCCACCTTTTTGTTTTCAGCAACAGTCTCACCTTGTCCTCTGTGGCAGCTCAGTGATAGCCCCATGTCTTTGTTGCCTTTCTTGTGTTAGTTCTTCTCCCTTCAGTCTGATGTTAATCTAGAGTGTTCCTTAAAGCGATACCATCTCTTTTAACCCTCATTTCATCCCTCTTCATTAGTAAGGAAATGTTATTTTCCTGGTACATTTGTGGGAGACATTTAGGGATCAAGAACTAGTATATTTTTCTTATCTATGTGGATTTTTCCATATTGTTGGCTCTCTTAGAATGTAAGGCACCTTAAAAACCATCTGCTATACAACCCTAAAGTGGAGGTAACATGGGGAAGGATGCCCGAGTGACTTGTTCAAGGTTACAGTGCAACTCAGCGGCTGAGATAAACAAAGCCCGTGGCTTTCTACTCTCAGCCCAATGGCTTTTTGCTTTATGCTCCAAGACATCATTTTTAGAGTTCTGCAATCATCTGAATGGTACAGGAAGAGTCAAGTTAATACTTGTTAGTACTTTGTTTGCCATCTGATGTAAAATGAATTTATCTTTATAGATATTGCTGTTGCCGTTCAAGGGAGGAGAGAAATCTTTGTTTCTTTTGAAAGGTTACTTTTATGTTCTAATGCTATTTATTTGTTCGCTTGCTTGAGACAGTCTCACTATGTAGTCCTGGCTGGTCTAAAAGACACTGTGTAGACCAGACTGGCCTTGACCTCACAAAGATTCACATGCTGCTGCCTCCCAAGTGCTGGGATTAAAGACATGCACCAACCATACCTGACTTCTTTTATTTAAACTGTAGACCATTACCACTTTTGCAAGACTGTGGGGACAGAGAAAATTCTTGTCCTTTATTTCATCATCCTTCTCTTATATCTCCATATCTAAAAATGTCACTGTGTGATACATTGACTGTGACTGTGATAAACACATTCTTTTATATGAGACAACAAAATATTGGAGGAATAAATGCAGATGTTAATGTGTATGCCTTGGTTTGGAATATACTAGGAATCTAAATACATGTGTATAGATATACAAATATTAAATAAAGACATTTTTGAGAATTAGTTTTTATATTCTGATCAGTTACATTAAAAGTTACTACATATTTATTTTATGTGCATGTGTGTGTGTTGGGGGGTGAGGGGGTACATGCCACAGTGCTCATGTGGGGTCAAGGGGCAAATCATAACTTGTAGGAGTCAGTTCTTTCCTTCTACCATGTGGGGCCTAGAGATTGAACTCAGGTCATCAGGCTTGACAAGAGGCGCTTTTATCTACTGAGCTCTTTCTTCATGGGCCCCCAATTATATGTTTTTAATGGCTTGTATTTTATGAAAGTAAATATGCCAATTCATTGCTTTATGTATCCAATTGTGTGGGTTGTTCCATAGGATTCACTATTTTACTCATTGGAAACTGGTTTAATTCCTTTGAGGAGGGCCTTTGATAAAGCACATCTATATGGGATGCTTTGAGAAGCTCTAAGCAGGGGATGTCATCAGTCTGACACCACCAAATACCATGACTTTGAAGGTTCTTTATATCAGAAAGCAAGTGGAAAGTATGGCTTCAATAAGAGATGTGGAAGCGTAGAACCACGGGCATTAAAACCAGCAATCCAAAATAGCCTAGTTCAATGACCTATTTTCTTTTAAAAAGTTATCCTTGTTCGTGGACAGAGGCAGATAATGGACTTTGCCTTTTGGCCCCTATAGTGTTCAGTAGATTTGAACATTGCAAGCCAGTGTTTTAAGATCTAGGGCAACAGAGGCAATGGAGCAGGGCAGAGACATTGTTTCAAAAAGCAGTGATAAAAGTGACTTAAACTGCCATTGTTTACTGAGTACCCATTGTTATGCCAGCTCCTTCACATTACTGTGCACATTACTCTGTGTGTGAAATAGGTTATAGATGAGGAAATTGAGATGCAATGAGTCTTAAGAAACTCGCCCATTCAACTTTGTATAGCTACTTAGTGCAGCAAACGGGATTTGAATACAGGTTTGTCTTACTCAGAAGCCCATATGGTAAAACACTGTACTATAATCTCTTCCTGACTTATTGGATAATAATACTTACCTTAGGGGTATTTTGGGATCCAATAAGATTTTATTTTTATTTAAAAATATTTTATTAATTATATTTTGTGTATGAGTATATTCTGTGCATATATGTAAGTGCACATGTGTCATGCAATGCCCACAGATGTCAAAAGAGGGTATTAGTTCCCCTGGAACTGGAGTTATGTGTGGTTGTTACCACGAGAGTGCTGGGTACCAAACCTGGTTTCTCTGTAAGAGCAGTTAGTGCTCCTAACCACTGAACAATCTCTCCTGCCCCCCCCAATAAGATTATAAAAAATCCTAAAAGTGCTTCGTAATTTCTAACAAAGTTCTGTGTAGTGAAAGATACCATTAGAAGGCAATATGCTATAATAAATGTATGACTACCCTCCAAAGAAATCCGGATGTCCTGCTGTCTGTACCTTGTCGATGGTTTTCTGATGAGCAAGAGTAGCTTGTGTTCCAGACAAAGATTCTGAAAAGCAGGTCACTGGCTCTGTGTGCCCAGTGATGTTGTTAAGAGTATGGATATCTTTTCCTGTAGCTGAGGGAGGAAAGAGGCGAGGATTGCTGATGATGTGTCTGCAGACACAAATCTCCAAGGACCCCAGACTTCCGTTGAGCACACTGAGAATTCCTGTGTGGTTCTAGTTGCACTTTGACATTGGTGTTGTTTCCTCTCTTATTTGTTATAGAAACTGAGCTGCTCTTCTGGTTAAAGGACATCAATCATTTCTTAATGCAAGACATTGCCTTCCTGTCTGGTAAGCAAATTTTATCATGTATTTAAGTGCAGATAAATATATGAATGGGTCAGCAGAGTTCATTTGACATTTATACAGATAGCTTGCTCTTCTAATACTTATATACATATACACACATATGTGCATTAGCTTGAGAAACATTTTAATAAACTTTAATATATTATGCATCTAGTTACTAAGCAAATGGACACTCAGAAAAATTAAGAGCTTTTAAGCATAATTAAGTGATTAAAACCAACCTTATGGTGCTGGAGAGGTGGCTCAGGGGATAAGAGCACTTGCTGTTCTTCCAGAGGAGCCGGGTTCAACTCCCAGCACCCACATGGCAGCTCTGTTGTCCTCTTCTGGCCATTGCAGGCACTACACACATATCGATAAAAGCATACTGGCAATCAAAACACTTGTTCAAATAAAAATAAATAAATCATTAAAAAATCCCCAACCTTACCACTCTTGTACACTTGGCCTTCAGGTCAAGTCTTCAGATATCCATAACAGGGAAATCTAAGTGCGTGTCTTGGGTGGTTGCAGACTGGATGGGAAGTTAGCAGTTATAGTAGGTTTTTTGACAGTTTATTCTCTACTATGGTAGCTCCAACAAATGTTGGCAAGCAACATTTTAAGTATTTTTTTTAAAGGATTTCACTTAGACAAGATAAAGTTTGCTTTTCTCAACTGTGTATACTTTAATTTTATAAGTTTTATTTTACACAGTTTTAAATGTTGTTAAATACATATGAAGTTTATCATCTTAACCATTTCAAAGAGCACAGCTATCTGGAATTAAGTATATTTATTTGTATTTTTTTGCAGCCATCACCAACATACATCTTTAGGCAGGGTCTTCTTATGTTGCCCAGGCTGGCCTTGAATTCACGATCCTCCTGCCTCTCTGGGGTTGTACACAAGCTCCACCACGCCCAATTTCCAGAACTCTTTTAAAAATATGTCATTTTTATTTTATGTTTATGAGCCTGCAGATAGGTAACCTCACAATGTGTATGTCATTCCTTTGGGGAACAGAAGATGTTGGATCCCATGGAACTGGAGTTACTCATAAGTTGCTAGCCACCATGGGGGTTCTGGGAACTGAACCTGGATTCTTGGCAAGAACACAAGGATCTAACCACTGAGCCACCTGACCATCCCCCCTAAAATGCCTTAATTTTGTAAAGTTGAAACTCTGTATCTGTTGAGTAGTAACTCCCATTCCATTCCCATCCCCCATAATCCCATGGGAAATCACCATTTTCCTTTCTGCCTCTGTAGACTTGACTAGCCTAGATTCCTACATAAGTGAAAGCATGTGGTATCTTTGATTTGGTGACTAGCTTCTTTTATCAAGTATGATGTTCTCATGGTTCACCGATGCTGTACCACGTGCTGGAATCTCTTTCTTTACAGCTGAATGATATTTCATCATATATACATGCCACATGATTTTATTTATTCATCCTTTGATGGCTCATTGGCTGCTTCTATGTTTTGTTTCTTGTACATATTGCTGTTAAAGAGCAATATATGCTAGGAGAAACGTTACTATGGAATCCTTTCATTTTTTGTCACTGGTCAGATTTTTGGAAAAGTTTGGCTTCAAAACAAGAAAATGTCCAGTCCTTGGGAGCCAGGGGCAAGAGGATCTTTGTGAGTTCAGGGCCAGCCTGGTCTATATAGCAAGTTCTGGGCCAGTTAGGGACACATAGTCAGACAGTGTCTCAAAAAAAAAATTAAATTAAAAAGTCAGTTCTTCCCAGACAGGGGCTATGTGTAGCTCAGTGGTAGAGCTCTCATGTCTGAAGTGCTTTTGCTTCACTCGGGTGTCCTACCACTGATCTACACTTCCAGAGCTCAGTGTTGTCTACACTGTGTTCTGAATGGAACTAACCTCAAGGCTTGTTGCTCCCATCTACATCCTTCTCCTCACTTTTCCTTCTTTCTCTGATAGTTCGTTGTTGTTTATAAAATATTTCTGCTTGTACTTTCTTTCAAAAAATGTTTCCAGTGGAGGATGATATAAACCTCCCAATTTTGAATAAAGAGATCCCCTTTGTGCATTTATCATACATGTGCTATCTAGTACAGTGCTCATTGGTAATAAGTTTAATAGATTAAAATTTAGTAGATTAGTCAGTCAGTGATAATTACTCTTAGAGGAGTCATGGATCATTTCCATTGATAGATGAACTTTACATAAATATTAGATGACTCTGTCTCTAAGAAGAGTGCTCACTCATTTGTTCAGGTCGGGAAGGGGAGAAAAACACAGATTGAGATTGATTTTGTTTATGTTCTGTCAAATATTGAGGGCTGGGCAGTGAAATTTCTGGTGCTCAGTTTTACTTCCTGTGCTTCACAGCTCTATGACTAGGTGCATAAACATTTAGGATTATGTCGCTTTGATAAATCAACCATTTAAAATGATCAGATATGCCTTTTTTATTGTTGTTGGTCTTTTTAAGACAGGGTCTCCCTATAGTGCCAGCTGGCCTGGAACTCTATATGTAGACCAGGCTGATCTTGAACTCTCACCACTCCTGGCATCAGATTAGTTTTCTAACAAAGATTCATTGTACTTAAAAAAATTGTTCGTGTAGTGGCGCATGCCTGTAATCCCAGCACTTGGGAGGCAGAGGCAGGCAGATCTCTGTGAGTTCAAGGCCACCCTGGTCTACAAAGTGAGTTCCAGGCTAGTTGGGGCTATAGGGAGACCCTGTCTCAAAAAGACAAAAAAGTGTGAGTGAGTGTGTGTGTGTGTGTGTGTGTGGTCTATTTGTAAGTACGCATGTATTCAGATGTACACGGAGGCCAGAAGAGGGTATTGGAACCCTGAAGCTGGAGTTGCAGGTGTTTGTGAGCTGCCTGATGTGGGTGCTAGGAAATGAATTCTAGTTCTCTGTAAGAGCAGTGTGCACTCTAAACTGCTAAGTCATCTCTCCAGCCTTTCAAATGAACATTTTTATATCTAGTAATATCCTTGGTTCTGAAATCTAGTTTGTCTAATATTGAACAGTATAGCAAGGCAGATTCCATCCTTCTGCTTGTGGTTCATTTGTACTTTTACATGTATGTTTCTTACTGACATTCAGGCTAATTATCTTGGATTGTGTGTGTGTGTGTGTGTGTGTGTGTGTGTGTGTACATGTGTGGAGGCTAAAGGTTGATATTATGTGCTTTTTTCAATCATTTTCCACAATATCCTTTGAGGCAGTCTCTGGAGCTTGACTATTCAGCTAGACTGCTGGCCAGCATACCTCAGGGACCCACCTTTCTCCAACTTCCCAGGCTGGGATTAGAAGTGAATGTACCCAAGCTCTTCTTTAAATGAGTTCTGAGGGATCCAGTTCGGTTCCTCATGCTTGTGTGGCAAGCATTTTACCCACCAACTGAGTCATCTTCCCAGTCCCAGCCTTTGAGATTTAACTGTAACATTCAGATAATTTACTTGTTTTGTACCATTTTCTATCATGCTTACCATGACTCCATGTGGTCATTTATGAAGTTTTCTTTTGCTATCAAACTACTAATTGGCTCTCATTTGGAATTCAGGCTCATAGCCTTGATGTAGAAATTTGTTTCTTAACCTCCCTTGTTTGAGGATCGGCTGTTTCTTCAGCCATCCTTCTTATGCTTATCACATACATTTCCCTCCTGACTTATTTATTCATGTTGTCCTTCTAGTTTTGGTTTTGGAACCAATTTGCTATTTTTAAAACATAATCAGGAATGTATCATTATTTTGGTTTATATGGAAATTATTATTCTCATAATCATCTTTTTTAAAATCTAAAAATCCTCATCTTGTTTTGTCACATAAATTGACAATTTGGTGGATTTGGTTATTTTAGGTGGCCGGGGACGGGACAATGCTTGGATCATTACATTTCCAGAAAACTGCAATTTCAGATGCATCCCAGAGGATATAATAGCAAAAGTGCTCAAATACCTGACGGCTGTTGCAAGGTATAGTACTTCATTACATTCTAAAATTTTGTTTTGTATCAAATACCCACTTGAAGCTTAGAACATGAAGATTGCTCGTTGGTATAGTTATTATTGTTATTGCGTGTAACAAGTAGACTTCCCTTCAGAGTAGAAAAATATAAGGGAAAGGGAGGCTGATAGACACTTAAAAATATACTGAGGATCTATGTAACCAAAACTGCAGGTCTCGAATTGCTTGTATTCCTGAGGAAGAAGAGCCTAGGCTAAGCATGACTATCATACATGAAAGGAAATCATCTTTCCCAACAGTGAAGACAGCCATTCTTCATTTTGTTTGATGATAAAGTAAGAAGACTGTATCGTAGATTCAGCAATGTTGTTGGAAGATGGTAGGCAGAATGACTTGATAGTAAAGACATTTTGAACTAGTATATGATAAGCTTAATATATCTCCTTTAGAGGGACCAGAGAGATGGCTCAGTGGTAAGAATGCTTGCTGTATAATTATTAGGACTGCTATTCAGATCTCAGCACCCACATAACAAGATGGATGTCCCCTCTACAACTGTTACACGAGTTATGAGGGGGCCATAGACAGGAGGAAACCCATGCCTTAGTCTTCTCTTTGTGTGTACACAAAGGTGCACTTACCCACATACCTCACACATGTGTGTGCATGCTCACATACACATATACACACACCACTCAAAACCTTCCTTAGAAATTTTGTTTGTTTTGAAGATAAACTATTATTTATTTATTTACTTATTTAAGACAGGGTCTCATATAGTGGTGCCTAGTCTGGAATTTCCTATTAGACCAGGCTGACCTCAAATTCACAGTGATCTGTCTGCCTCTGCCTCCTGAGTGCTGGGGTTAAAGGCGTGTGTCACCATGCTCAGGAAAGATAAAAGTGAGATTTTTTTTTTTTTTTGAGATGGAAGCTCACTATGTAGCCCTGACTGACCTGGAACTCACTATATAGGCCAGGGTGGCCTCAAATTAGCAGAGATCTACCTGCCTTTGACTGCCAAATGCTAGTATAAAGGTATGCTGCCTAGCAATACTCATAACGTCTTTTAAAAACTATTTTTTTTATTTTATGTGTATAAGTGTATTTCCTGCATGTATGTAAATATACCATATGCATGCAATGCCCACAGAGGCCTGAAGAGGGTGTCAGATCCCCTGGAACTAGAGTTGTGAATGGTTGTTAGCTACCATGTTGGTACTGAGAACCAAACCGAGGTCCTCTGCAAGAGCAGCTAATGCTTGTAAACACTGCTGAGCCATCTCTTCAGTTAAATATTGGCAATCTTAAAAGCAACCCTAACACAATGATAAATTAATATGACAGAACAGTAGTTCCCTATATCCACTGGGGATATGATCCAAGACTAGCCCCAGACTTATAGAGATCTGCCTGCCTCTTCCTCCCAAGTGCTGCAATTAAATCCATGAGGAATCACCACACCCTCCTTCAATTAACTTTTTAAGATAGTATTTTATAATTGATCTAAGCTTGTGTTCAGTCAAACATCAAATATAAATGAATAATTATAAATACAGATATAGAAAAGGCAGGTTATTATTTAAAAATTATTTCCTTTTATCTTGTAGGGAAAATGGATCTGACTCCCGATTCACTATTATTCTGGATCGAAGACTGGATACATGGTCTTCTCTCAAAATTTCTCTCCAGAAAATCTCAGTAAGTACCATGCACTCCATAACAAATTCTTTTCTTGTTTTATGTATACTTAACAGTATGGAAGTATGGGTTATTTTGATATTGATGGAGACAATAAATAGCAATGAGATAATGAGGAGAAAGTAAGAAGACTTTATGAGGAGACTGAGGTAAACAGCTTCCCACCCAATGTAAATTCTAGTGGGAAAGAATGAGTAGTTGATTGTTCAAGTTATGAGCGAGGAAAGACTCATGGCTCTCTATGCCTTTCAGAGCAAGGCATATATTTTATAGGACCTTTTGGAAAATGGAAATAGCTGTATTCTATACCCATTATATGTGGAAAAGTATAAAGAAGTTTAAAACCAGTCACTAATCCAACCACCCAGAGATAAGCACTTCTTGACGTTTTAGTGTGTGTCTTTCTATCTAGGCTTGGTTTTCCTAGGATGGAGTGAGTCCTCTAAAATGACATGTCTCCCTAACTGGAATGTGGTTCTCACTTTTCCAAGATTCAGAGAGAGAAAACAGTTCTCCTAAAAGAAGTATTGTGAGAAATACAATCCTGCACATGATCGAGACATTCACATTATTAGGATCTCCAGGAGGTTGTGATGTGATGCGTCCCTTTCACTGAAAAGCAGGTAGATGAGGTCAGAGTTCTTCAGAGCTGACAAATTTGGGGATATCTGTGGTTGCTTCATGTGGCCTACTTCCTCTATCAGAGCAGAATTGCTGAGGCTCAATATACTTTTTGTTTGTGATTCAAATAATATCAACCATGTGAAATTCTTTTACTTTTCATTTGTTTCTATTGCTTTATTTTGCAAAAACAGAAAGCTCAACAATAAATGATAAAATGGGAATATTTATTTTTAAGATGACATGTAAAAACAGAAGTTGTACATATTTATGGATTATCATGTGATGTTTCATGCATCTACAAATACTATATAATGTTTAAACCAGGGCAAGAATAGCTGTCTCCTCAAACGTGTCATTTCATTATGGTGAGACCATTCAAAATCCTTCTATCTCTTGTTGCCTCCTGTATAACACCACACCGGATCTTTTTGCTTCTGTCCTCTGAAGTTTTTTCTTTTTCTCCTGACTGAATCAGAGGCCACTCACCTGAGGGAGTTGATTTAGTTGTAAAGACAAGATAAAAATCTAGGTTATTGAAATTCTGAATCAGTACTTTCTTGCTATATTATTTTGTCAATGAACATAAATAATACTAGCACTCAAAGACAGACGTAATGGCAAAATAAGTGAGATCATTTGTTTCATATATGTCATAGATTATTCCTTTTGGGTGTGATTTTGCAGTGTTTTTCTGTTATTTGTTTAAAGGAGGTATTTAATGATAAACGGTACGTCCTAACTTCTTATCTTGTTGCTGTAATAAGCTACTCTGACAAAAGCAACTTAAGGGAGAAAGGTTTTTTTTTTTTTTTTTAACCTCACAGTTGTAGGCTACAGTGCATCATAGCAGGGGAGTCAGAGTGGTGGGAGCTTGAGGTAGCAGATCACATCACATCCTCAGCCAGAAGATACATACATGCTAGTGCTCAATGCACTTTCTCCACAGTCTAGGATCCCCTGTCTAGGGAAGGGTATGGACCACAGAGGGTGGCAAGGATTCCCTGTCTAGGGAAGGGTATGGACCACAGAGGGTGGGGCTTCCCACATCAATTAACACGATCAAGATAATCCCCTAGGGGAAGGAGAGATGGCTCAGCAGCTAAGAACACTGGCTACTCTTACAGAGGACCTGTTTGGTTCCCAGCACCCACATGGTGGTTAATAATTGTCCATACCTCCAGTTCCAGAGGATCCAGTGCCCTCTTCTGACCTCCCTGGGCATTGTATGACACAGGTGCACTTAAATGCGTGCAGGCAATATACTCACATACATTTAAATTTTTTAAAAAAAATTTATTAAAATTTTTTGATTTCTTTAATTTTATTTTTATGTGTCTGTGGAAGATGGAAGAAGGCATTGTATTTCCTGGAACTGGAATTACAGATGGTTGTTAGCCAACATGTGGGTTTTGGGATTCAAACCTGGGTCTTCTACAAGAACAGCCAGAGCTCCTAACCACTGAACCATCTCTCCAGCCCCATAACTTATGTTTTTAAAAAATAGATAATCCCCTAGACATGACCAGAGGCACATCACCCGGGTGATTTTAGATTTTGTTATGTTGGCAGTTAACACGAATCATCATAAAATAGAAAGAAGGAAACACAAAAGTCAAACAAGTTATTAAAATAAAAGAGCGAGACTAGGGATAAAATAATTGGTAGAGTACTTACCTACAAAGTCTTGGGTTCCAGCTCTAGCGCCACATAAGACAGACATGGTGGTATATTCCTGTAAACCTAGCACTCAGAAGGTAGAGACAGGAAGATAAGAAGTTCAAGGTCATACTCAGCTACATAATGGATTTGAGGCCAACCTGGGCTGTAGGAGACCCTGTCTCAAACAACAGTCACATAAAGCCTTCATGTAAGTATTTTTCTTCTCAAAAGTGTTTGTATTTATTAGGTAGCATTTATACTCCTTATTTCCTGATTAATAAATGTAGTCATGCATCAAAATTTGTGTGATCTATGCTGAAAGTACACTGATACATGTTCTTTGGGGGCGTTTTATATACACATGTATTTATGTTTTATTTTTATTTTATATGTATGAGTGTATTGCCTGCATGTATGTAAGAGCAGCACATGCATGTAGTGCCTGCAGAAATGAGAAGAGGGCATTAGATTCCCTGGAACTGAAGTTATGGGTGATTGTTAGACACCATGTGGGTGCTTGGAACCAAATCTGGGTCTCTTATAAGAGCAGCCAGTGCTCTTAACCAGAGCTATCTCTCCATCCCTCCCCACTTTTTTCATTTTTATTTTTTTGTTTTGTTTTGTGTTTTGAGACAGAGTCTCACTATGTAACCCCAGCTAGCCTAGAACTTACTGTGTAGCTCCAGCTGACCTGAAACTCACTACGCAGACCAGACTGGCCTCGGTCTTACAGAGATCTTCGTGCCTCTGCCTCCCGGGTGCTGAGGTGAAAGGTGTGAGGCACCATGCCTGGCTGATACCTATTCTCTGGAAAGGATATGCAATAAATCCCAGGTCAGATAGCTAAATAACTAAAAATCCAGAGCAAGAATTGAAATTTTGAGTATTTTTTTTGTTTTATGGATTATGTATATACAACTAAATTCAGTGTTTTTTTTTATTTAAATAAAATTCCTTTGGAGTGAATATATCTGCCCTTCATATACTATTGAGCTGTATCAATAGGGCCCAATGAAGTAAAGGCCATTTTCCCTTGCTGTGGCGTTTTAGGATTGGTCTTTGGATTTGTTAAGTAAACTTTAGTTTATGCCCATAAGCAGTCCTTTTCTGCTAAATATAGTCCTTCTTGGAATAAAACTTTTTTGAGAGAAGGTCTCACTGTGTAGCTCTAGCTGACCTAGAGCTTGCAATGTAGACAAAGCTGGCCTTCAATTCAGAGATCTGTGTGTCTTTGCCTATGCTGTGATTAAAAGTATATACCACCATTCCTGGCCAATAAAACATTTCTTACTGCCTAGCTCTCTGTCTTTTGAGCAAAATAGCATCTGCTTGCTTAAATCGATTCTCACTGACTATTTGGCACATGACATTGTCTTTTGGTAAAGTTTTATTTTTATTAAGACAGATTGCTTGGAATAAATGTTTTATTTTCTAACAAAATAGAAACAAAAGATTAAGTGTTGATCTTATCAACTTGAGGTCAATAGAGGGATAATGATTGGTTTCTTGGGAAGTGAATTCCCACATTTTGTTTTCCTAGAGCTGCTCCCCCAGTGGGGAGGTATGAACCATGTTCAGTGGGTAGGAGCAATTACTGTATAAGCATGAGAACCTGAGTTCAAATCCCTAGACTCCACCTCTGTGGGGGGTGGACACAGGAGGATCAATGGAGCTCCGTGGCTGCCAGCTTAGTTCCATGTTTAATGAGAGACTCTGTCTCAAGGAAACAAGGCAGAGAGTGATAGAGCAGGGCACCCAGCATCTTCCTCTGGCCTCTGTGCATGCACGTGAGTGTGTGCACACACTCACAAACACACACTCATACAGAAGCAATCCAAAATTTCTGGAGTTGTTTCTTTTCAATATTTTTATTGTTTCTGCTTTTGATATAGTTTCTATACCCATATTCAAAGAGCATGTTAATTATATCTCAACCATCAATAGCTGTTGGGCACTGTTTGAAATAAAGATGAGGGTGGAATACTAGTTAATTTCATTAGGAAAAACTGGCATTCAGGAAGGACTTAGGGTAAAAGTAACCATTGTACAACAGGGATAACTGTTCATGGTCTATTACTTTAACCCTTGCTATATTTTTCTGGTCCTAGGGATAGAACCTAGGGCCTCATGCATATTAGGCAAGTGCTGTACCATTGAGCATCATCTGTACTTCAATATAAGATGATACAGGAGCTGGAGAATGACTCAAGGGTTAAGAACACTAGTTGTTCTTGCAGAGGACCCATGTTCAATTCCCAGCATCCACGTGGCAACTGCCCTAACTCCAGTTCCAGGGGATCTGATGCCCTCTTCTGACCTCTGGAGGCATTGCGCAACATGGGTGCAATTATATGCATGCAAGCAATACACTCATACACATAAAATAAAAATAATAAATAAAACATAAAAAATGGCACAGTTCAATTTGAATTCCTTAACTTAGAGTTTCCCAAATAAACAATTAGGCTTCATAATTAATGAGAAGAGACACTTAAAATTATTGCACATTGACACCTAATAAATTTACATATTAATGGGGAAGATGCGATGTTTTCATATATGTATGTATGTTGTATAATGACATATCTATCACATTAAACATTATTTCTTTGTGGTGAGAATATTCAAAATGCTCTCATTTAGCTAATTGGGGGGAAGGTTAATTTGAAGGTTTTAAAAAGTTTGCATGCATGTTATGCTCTACATTATTATTATTT